TGGCTGTTTTGAACTGTCCTAGACCTTGATAAACGTTGCCGAGATTGCCATAACTGATTCCCTCTCCGGCCTTGTCTCCCACTTCTTTAGCAATTTCTAGATGACGTTGATGGTACTGGATGGCTGTTTTGAACTGTCCTAGACTGTCATAAGCGTTGCCGAGATTGCCATAACTTTTTCCCTCTCCGGCCTTGTCTCCCACTTCTTTAGCAATTTCTAGATCACGTTGATGGTACTGGATGGCTGTTTTGAACTGTCCTAGACTGTTATAAGCGATGCCGAGATTGCCATAACTGATTCCCTCTCCGGCCTTGTCTCCCACTTCTTTAGCAATTTCTAGATGACGTTGATGGTACTGGATGGCTGTTTTGAACTGTCCTAGACCTTGATAAGCGTTGCCCAGATTGCCAGAACTGATTCCCTCTCCGGCCTTGTTTCCCACTTCTTTGGCAGTTTCTAGATGACGTTGATGGTACTGGATGGCTGTTTTGAACTGTCCTAGACCCTGATAAGTGTTGCCGAGATTGCCATAACTGATTCCCTCTCCGGCCTTGTCTCCCACTTCTTTAGCAGTTTCTAGATGACGTTGATGGTACTGGATGGCTGTTTTGAACTGTCCTAAACTGTCATAAGCGTTGCCGAGATTGCCATAACTTCCTCCCTCTCCGGCCTTGTCTCCCACTTCTTTAGCAGTTTCTAGATGACGTTGATGGTACTGGATGGCTGTTTTGAACTGTCCTAGACCTTGATAAGCGTTGCCCAGATTGCCAGAACTGATTCCCTCTCCGGCCTTGTTTCCCACTTCTTTGGCACTTTTTAGATGTCGTTGATGGTACTGGATTGCTCTTTTGAATTGTCCTAGACCTATATAAGCGTTGCCGAGATTTCCATAACTTATTCCCTCTCCGGCCTTGTCTCCCACTTCTTTAGCAGTTTCTAGATGACGTTGATGGTACTGGATGGCTGTTTTGAACTGTCCTAGACCTTGATAAGCGTTGCCGAGACTGCCATAACCTTTTCCCTCTCCAGCCTTGTCTCCCACTTCTTTAGCAGTTTCTAGATGACGTTGATGGTACTGGATGGCTGTTTTGAACTGTCCTAGACCTTGATAAGCGTTGCCCAGATTGCCAGAACTGATTCCCTCTCCGGCCTTGTTTCCCACTTCTTTGGCACTTTTTAGATGTCGTTGATGGTACTGGATTGCTCTTTTGAATTGTCCTAGACCTATATAAGCGTTGCCGAGATTTCCATAACTTATTCCCTCTCCGGCCTTGTCTCCCACTTCTTTAGCAATTTCTAGATGACGTTGATGGTACTGGATGGCTGTTTTGAACTGTCCTAGACCTTGATAAGCGTTGCCGAGACTGCCATAACTTTTCCCTCTCCAGCCTTGTCTCCCACTTCTTTAGCAATTTCTAGATGACGTTGATGGTACTGGATGGCTGTTTTGAACTGTCCTAGACCTTGATAAGCGTTGCCGAGATTGCAATAACTTCCTCCCTCTCCGGCCTTGTCTCCCACCTCTTTAGCAATTTCTAGATGACATTGATGGTACTGGATGGCTGTTTTGACATGCCCGAGACTGTCATAAGCGTTGCCGAGATTGCAATAACTTCCTCCCTCTCCGGCCTTGTCTCCCACTTCTTTAGCAATTTTTAGATGACGTTGATGGTACTTGATTGCTGTTTTGAACTGTCCTAGACTGTCATAAGCATTGCCCAGATTGCAATAACTTCTTCCCTCTCTGGCTTTGTCTCCCACTTCTTTAGCAGTTTCTAGATGACGTTGATGGTACTGGATGGCTGTTTTGAACTGTCCTAGACCTTGATAAGCGTTGCCGAGACTGCCATAACTGATTCCCTCTCCGGCCTTGTCTCCCACTTCTTTAGCAATTTCTAGATGACGTTGATGGTACTGGATGGCTGTTTTGAACTGTCCTAGACCTTGATAAGCGTTGCCCAGATTGCCAGAACTTCTTCCCTCTCCGGCCTTGTCTCCCACTTTTTGAGCAATTTCTAGATCACGTTGATGGTAATGGATGGCTGTTTTGAACTGTCCTAGACTGTCATAAGTGTTGCCGAGATTGCCATAACTTCCTCCCTCTCCGGCCTTGTCTCCCACCTCTTTAGCAATTTCTAGATGACGTTGATGGTAGTGGATGGCTGTTTTGAACTGTGCTAGACCTCGATAAGCGTTGCCGAGATTGCAATAACTTCCTCCCTCTCCGGCCTTGTCTCCCACTTCTTTAGCAATTTCTAGATGACGTTGATGGTACTGGATGGCTGTTTTGAACTGCCCCAGACCTTGATAAGCGTTGCCGAGACTGCAATAACTTCTTCCCTCTCCGGCCTTGTCTCCCACTTCTTCAGCAATTTCTAGATCACGTTGATGGTACTGGATGGCTGTTTTGTACTGTCCTAGACCACAATAAGCGTTGCCGAGATTTCCATAACTTCTTCCCTCTCCGGCCTTGTCTTCCACTTCTTTAGCAATTTCTAGATGACGTTGATGATACTGGATGGCTGTTTTGTACTGTCCTAAACTGTAATAAGCGTTGCCGAGATTTCCATAACTTCCTCCCTCTCCGGCCTTGTCTCCCACCTCTTTAGCAGTTTCTAGATGACGTTGATGGTACTGGATGGCTGTTTTGAACTGTCCTAGACCCCAATAAGCGTTGCCCAGATTTCCATAACCTTTTCCCTCTCCAGCCTTGTCTCCCACTTCTTTAGCAGTTTCTAGATGACGTTGATGGTACTGGATGGCTGTTTTGAACTGTCCTAGACCTTGATATACGTTGCCGAGATTGCCGTTACTGATTCCCTCTCCGGCCTTGTCTCCCACTTCTTTAGCAATTTCTAGATGACGTTGATGGTACTGGATGGCTGTTTTGAACTGTCCTAGACTGTCATGAGCATTGCCGAGATTGCAATAACTTCCTCCCTCTCCGGCCCTGTCTCCCAATTCTTTACCTCTTTCCAGATTACGGTGATGGTACTGGATGGCTGTTTTGAACTGTCCTAGACCTTTATAAGCATTGCCCAGATTGCCATAACTTCTTCCCTCTCCGGCCTTGTCTCCCACTTCTTTAGCAATTTCTAGATCACGTTGATGGTACTGGATGGCTGTTTTGAACTGTCCTAGACCCCGATAAGCGTTGCCGAGACTGCAATAACTTCCTCCCTCTCCGGCCTTGTCTCCCACCTCTTTAGCAATTTCTAGATGACGTTGATGGTAGTGGATGGCTGTTTTGAACTGTCCTAGACCTTGATAAGCGTTGCCGAAATTGCCATAACTTCTTCCCTCTCCGGCCAAGTCGCCCACCTCTTTAGCAATATCTAGATGACGTTGATGGTACTGGATGGCTGTTTTGAACTGTCCTAGACCTTTATAAGCGTTTCCCAGATTGCCATAACTGATTCCCTCTCCGGCCTTGTCACCCACTTCTTTAGCAATTTCTAGATGACGTTGATGGTACTGGATAGCTGTTTTGAACTGTCCTAGACCTTTATAAGCGTTGCCCAGATTGCAATAACTTCCTCCCTCTCCGGCCTTGTCTCCCACCTCTTTAGCAATTTCTAGATGACGTTGATGGTACTGGATGGCTGTTTTGAACTGTCCGAGACTGTTATGAGCATTGCCGAGATTGCCATAACTGATTCCCTCTCCGGCCTTGTCTCCCACTTCTTTAGCAATTTCTAGATGACGTTGATGGTACTGGATGGCTGTTTTGAACTGTCCTAGACCTCGATAAGCGTTGCCGAGATTGCCATAACTTCTTCCCTCTCCGGCCTTGTCGCCCGCTTCTTTAGCAATATTTAGATGACGTTGACTGTACTGGATGGCTGTTTTGAACTGTCCTAGACCTTGATAGGCGTTGCCGAGATTGCAATAACTTCCTCCCTCTCCTGCCTTGTCTCCCACTTCTGTAGCAATTTTTAGATCACGTTGATGGTACTGGATGGCTGTTTTGAACTGTCCTAGACCTTTATAAGCATTGCCCAGATTGCCATAACTTCTTCCCTCTCCGGCCTTGTCTCCCACTTCTTTAGCAATTTCTAGATGACGTTGATGGTACTGGATGGCTTTTTTGAACTGTCCTAGACCTTGATAAGCGTTGCCGAGATTGCAATAACTTTTTCCTTCTCCGGCCTTGTCTCCCACTTCTTTAGATATTTCTAGATGACGTTGATGGTACTGGATGGCTGTTTTGAACTGTCCTAGACTGCCATAAGCGTTGCCGAGACTGCAATAACTTCCTCCCTCTCTGGCCTTGTCTCCCACTTCTTTAGCAATTTCTAGATGACGTTGATGGTACTGGATGGCTGTTTTGAACTGTCCTAGACTGTGATAAGCGTTGCCGAGACTGCAATAACTTCTTCCCTCTCCGGCCTTGTCACCCACTTCTTTAGCAATTTCTAGATGACGTTGATGGTACTGGATGGGTATTTTGAACTCTTCTAGACCTTTATAAGCGTTGCCGAGATTGCCATAACTGATTCCTTTTCTGGTGTTGTCTTCCACTTCTTTAGCAATTTCTAGATGACGTTGATGGTACTTGATGGCTGTTTTAAACTGTCCTAGGCTTTGATGAGCGTTGCTGAGATTGCAGTAGTCTCTTCCCTCTTTGGTCTTATCTCTTACCACTTTAGCAATATCTAGTTTATGCTGGTGGTACTTGATAGCTGTTTTAAATTTTCCTAGGCCTTGATAAGCGTTGCCGAGATTGGAAGAACTGTTTGCTGTGACTACTAGTTCAGCATTAGTTTTCCTCAGTAATTGAAGCAGACGTTGGTTGCTATTTTCAATCTTTAAACGTGTCAAGGGTCGATAAATCATGAGCAGATTTGCGAAAATGCAGTGGAAGTGTGTGTTTTAAAAAAACAGCGAGAGTATTAGATAGAGTCTTAAAACTGGAATGATAATTCGAATGTGGGTTTTTTTAGAGATTTGATTTCAAGTTATTGGAGAGTTTTAACTAGCTCTGAAGCGCATTTATTGGTTTAGGTTCGGTCGTCATGGTGATGCTCGTCTGAAGACAAAAAATGAGGGGTATTCAGCTCAAACTCTGAGAATTAATTAATATGGCCTCTTCTTTTGAGTAAAGTTTCGTGGAATAATCGAAAGAACTCTTTAAGAATATTTTAGCTTCTTTAAACTGCTCAGTGCAGTATAAGAGAACATTGCTTGCGTTATGTGTTGAAGAATCTCTCCGGAACGTATTGATTTCCCTTGAAATATTACTCGCATTGCATCTCGTATCACGTTTGAAACATTCGTTAAAGGATACGGCCAATCCCATATACAACCAGCTCCTTGCTTCTTTATACCAGCAAAGTTCGACACAAGCTCTGGCTCCTGAAAAGGAGAGAATAATCGGTGGTGCGAGGTAATTTATGACTGTTGAGGTATGAACGTATTGATAAAATGGACTTAATTTGCCATTTAGCTGGGAACAAAAATTGTGATAATGAAGGAAATTTGAACTTGTGGAAGAACTGAAAATGAACAATAAGGAGTTAATACAAAGCGGCTACCAATTAAGCTTCGATTGATGATGATAACGATAAATTTATCTCGCGCGTTCTTCATTTTAATGTGCTCTTATGCGCTTTTCAGCACTTTTCGGTGAAGTTTTCGGGCAGACTGCATTGAGCAGTATAACTTATGAAAGGGATCTTTTCAGGTTGCCTCCTTGCCAGGTTTTTTAACGTCCCCTGCTAAGAGTTACAGAGAAGATGCAGGAAACGGGGGTTACGGTTTTCCGTCCATATCCGGGACAAGAATATCAAACCATTTGCAGATGTCATAGCTAGGTGGCAGCACATTCTCCTCAGATATTTTTAGACCGAGTGTTGTTCTGGTCTAGGGCTTGAACTCTCGAACTCCGGCGCTCTACATCGTGAACTAACCAGATGGCGGTATTTGAAAACTTATTGACATTTTCTTATGCTTTTTACCCATATAGCAGACATTGACACACCAGATACAATTGACACTTGGGGTGCAGTCACCTGCCACAAACCACAAAATCCTCTTTTGACGAAATCAGAGAATAGAATGTTGATGGCTTATGTCTGAAAAACCCACCTTTCTTAATAGCTTTGATTAAAGTGGGTTCCAATTGAACAGCAACTGTTGCATCATCCAGACATTCCACGTAGTTTGCTATGAGATTCAGGATATGAGGTTTAAAAAAGTGGTCATCATATGCAATCGCAGCAAAGGAGCCTTAAAAAACTACAATTGCTTAAAATGTAACGAGGATCATTTCTTTGCTTAATTTTCATCCGCCACGTCATCATGCTACTTTTCTGCAGTTGCTCAAGTTTTTTCTTTACTAGATGTAGATTGTGTATTCCATTACCTTGTAACGCTGCACGACAGATTTATATGTTTACATATGAAATTGTTACCCAAACGGAAATGAGCTGTTGCCCTGTTACTGTAAAGCTTGGCGTTCAGTCGTTTATCCTTGCAGTTCACTTGAAGTCCTTCCGTGTAGGAGTTTATCGCGTTATTAGCTTCTCCTTGTCTGTACTCTTCATTACCTTTCTCCAGACATACTTTCGCTATTTCTGAAAACACAACGTTTTAGTGTTAATGATTTAGTAATGAGTGAAACGACCCTTGACGGATGATGCCAACTTTATATATCCAAACGAACTTTTAGGCTACAGGAGCTTAAAGCTATGAAAAAAAAATCAGAAAAGTTTAATACCTGTACAGTTTGTTTAAGTAAAATGTATAAGCTGTTGGGAGTCTGGGCTGTAGCTTGGCTATTACCAGATCAAGTCTGTTCGGTTTACATTTTTTAGGTCGAGAGACTTTCCAAAAACCCTTTTTTACACCTGCGTTACGCTTTCCAAAATATCACGTTAGATTATAAAACTCCAAGAGTTACTGAGAAAAAATGCATAAAGAAAAGCAAAGCAAGGACCGAAAAAAGGATAAAATTTTTAATGTTCTGATAAAATGACAAAATGCCTCCTCTTCCTTGTAGAATTCTCAAATTGCGTAAAATTTCTGCCAAACATGTATTGAACAGTAAAGGACAAGAAGGTGTTAGCGTAAATACTTTCCTTTTGGCGTCCTAAAAAAGTTACCCGTTTGCAAATTTTTAAAAACTCGACTTTGACGGGTCTACGGGCAGAAACAGCTCTCTCTTACGGAAAATGACTTTCATACTAAAAATTACCAAATTTAGAATACTTTCAAGAGCAAAGAGGATAATACTTTTTCTGTGCAAATATCGTTCATTTTAGGTGTAAATTTTTTAGATACATCGTTAATCTCCAAAACATTGTGCGTTGATTTACAAGTAAGCACTTCTAAAACTCAGAAGCTTTGTAGGCAAATTTTGGCCCATTCTTCTTTAACTTAGGGCTCTTCAAAGCTAAGTCGCCTTCAAATTTGTCACTTTATTGCTTATGAATAATTAATGATGTCTATGCATTTTACTTGAGAGGATCGAGCAATAAATTGTTGTTTCCTTTGGTTTTCATTTTACTGGTAACAGAGTTTGAATTTGAAGAAACAATCTTTTACTGGTTCAAAAACTTATTGACAGAACATGCACAAATTTTGATGTAAATGTGACAAAATATTTACTGGGGCGTCTTTCAAACAATCTTATTTCACCTGGTTTTCTCACCTCTTAAAGGGTCATTGTATACATCCAGTTCAGCATAACTTGACGTAACTTGACTTTCCTCTGTTGCTGAAATTACTAAGAGGATATTTCAACTTTGTTAGTGATCACAACTACGTGCAATTACAACTAGCGTTCTAATACTGGCGTATTTAGTGGATTCCTAGAACCTTCCAGTCGAAGTGGTCTAATAAATAGTACACCAGAATTAAGATATACTTAATTAACAAACAGTACAAAATCACTATAACTAAGTCTTTCCCTGTTGCGTTTTCTCACCTGTAGCTGGAAACTCATTTTTCACCTCCAGTTCTTCTCCCGTTGTTGGGAGGTTGCTTTCTGCCATAGCTAGAAATAAAATTCAAACGATTGTACTGCGCTACATGCTTAATAATAAAAAAAGAAGAGACTCGAATGAAAGTGACCTTAAGAAAATGTTGGATACTTAATCACAGAGGAAGAATAAGAATCTCAAAGTCTCCTCCGTCGCGCTATTGTGGTTACGTGACAGCCCCACTCAAGTTCCACGGGTTTTGTCATGTTTGTGTTTTCAATGGTTTGTTTGTTTGTTTTCGTAGTCTCATCTGATGAAACGTCGTTCAAGGCTGTCCCTCATCAAAATACGTGAGTTGCAATAAACAACCTAGTTGTACCCGGTAGGCATGGATAAGCATGGATCAAAATTAATGCAATAAAAGACTCTTTCTCTCATTCCTTCATTTCATCGCGTGTGGGGCTGGGAGAATTCGCGAAACTTATTCGAAACCGAAACACCTTCGAGGGTTTGCGTTACCGTCACGAATTCTACCAACACCCCGCGAGCCTATTGCGTAAAGAAACTCGTTTATCGACCCTGTTCCTCTACAAAGTGCATGTGTAAAATGTCCCTCAAAGCTATCGAAAATTGCTGGACAAAGTCTTTTTTAACAGAATTATAAGTTCTAGTACATAAACTCCTTCATTAATTTTTTTTGAAGGAACCAGGAAATTTAGAATAACTGGAAGAGCTGGTCCCTCTCCAAATTATGTTGGGAAAGGATCCGATTTTTTCATTTCGAATTCAAAAAAGGCACTGAATACGAGGTTATTTTGAGGGACTGGAGAAGATGGCATTGGAAAGTGTCCTATTCATCAAAACTCTTGTTATCAAGAAACTTCATCTACAACAAATTGAAAGCCAAGCGCAACACACAGACTCCTGCATAGCTTAATCTTGTAGGCCATCGAGTGAATTCACTGCCAGGCCATGAGCATTTGGCGGAGGAAGTAGACTGAAAACGAAATGAGACTGAAAAATTATTTGTGAACGAATTGCTGATCAAAAAAGAATCTTTTGCTATATTATAGAGAATGGGAAATTTAGGACATTTCCCTGAAGCTGCTGAAGTGGTCTTGCCCTACAGAACAGGATTCTGCTCCAATATCAGCATTTACTGAGCCCACAGTTTTATCTTCCAGCGCACGATGTAAACACGCAAACATTGTGCCCATTTAGTTTGTCATCGCGTGAAAAAATATATCTACTAAAACCGAACTCTGACAGATAACCAGTCTGAAATGATACTACTAACCACCTTATAGATACGTAGTTCGAACATTTGAATACAAAAATTTATTCACCGTCGACGATTACCGTGGCAAGTTTCGCGAGGAGTTGGATTGATGTTCCAAAGCGTTTAAAAAAACCAGAATAATTAATCGTGTCGTTGACGAGGTTTCGTTTTCATACGTAATCAAGAAATCGTGGTCATCGTGATTCTGGTGTTGAAAATTTCACTTTTGTTGACACGTTTTCCCAATTTCTCTGCTATTTATATGTTTAGGTGGGACCCGCGAGCGAGCAGGAAACCTGTGCTCTGATCGGCTACCCAAGAGTGCAAAATGTGTTTTCTTTCGATTCCCACTTTGATACCCCACAAAAGGAAAAAAAGAAATGCTTGTAGCCTGTTGAATACCTTGTATAATGTCGTAACCAAACAGTATATTGTTGTCACATGAATAAAAGCTTTTCCAGTATTTTTGTCTAAAATAGAGGTCACAGATTCGGCCTAAATGAAAACAAAACAAAAACAAAAATCACAACGAAACTAGCAGATTTATTTGGTAATTCCATGGTGCATAAAAATATTTTGTTAGCATGTGATATATCCTTTGATCCTTTGCTGACGAAGACTTCGTCTCAGTCCTTAAAATGTAGTGAGGGAAATTGGTCGATGTACAGCCTTCTTAAGCTCACACTTGTTCAGTAATACACACGCATATATGAGGTATCAGATAACCGCGCGTGAATACGAATTTTACCATCGAGTGTTCATGACATCTTTTGCACCTTCAAAGAGATAATTCAATTGAAACAGATAAATTCGTATCCACAGGCGGACATGTATCATCCTTTTTATTTAAAAGTACTGATTGTAAATTTGAATGAAATACAATTTTTAAATAGGAGCATCGAAAACAGAGATTCACTGCACCGAAACTCAGCTCGCCGCAAAACAATTCAACTTCGGACATCGTAATACAACCGTTTCTTATTACAAGAACTATTTCCTTTGAAAAATAATTGAATTCAGCTTCATGTAAAAAAAAACAATTGAAAAAAAAGCCCACATGGAAAGTAAAACTGTCATGTTGATAATTTGGTTCGAATGACGACCTTGATACCTTTATATGTGATGATATAAATGGTACATTTACAGCGTGCGGTAGAGATTTCACGTTTTGGAAACTGAAAAAATTCTGGTACTTCACCGACAACCATATTACCGTTATTATTGTTTCGTTTAATAAATAGGCGTTGCCTCGTGTTGACAGATTTATTCGATGACAAGAATCGTGATTGACATTAATTCAATAGATTGATTTAAAAGCGTTAGATTATTATGTTTCAAATCAGTTTTTCTCCAGAATCGAAGTTATCGTTTTTCTGTCTCTAAATCCGCTTACCTGGAGAATCTGCTAACCCGTAAAGTGAGACTGTTGTAACGACCCGCCACAGAAGTAAGTTTATATTGAAGTTTTTGAATTTAGTTACAAGATAAAGACTTGATTTGCGTTTGTTCTAATTGCGAATTATAAATGTATTTCTTTTAGATCGAATAATTATTAAAGCTTGGCTTAATATTATACGGTTTGTGGTGGTCACTTGATCTAATCAGTTCCGAGTAAGGAAACAATTATTACTATATATCGCGAATGTTACGATATCAAAAGAAACGTACGGATTGTGTGTTTTTATTTCAACCTCGAGCTTTGTTTCAAACTTCGTTTGTTTTCGAGAGATGTTTGCTGGTTTTGATATTGACGAGAGCTATAATTATATACAGCACGTTATCTAGCTTTGTCACATGCTCATCACGCGCTTCTGCCGCATAATCATCACGCACAGTTAAACCTTCAACTCCCGTGATCTAATTGTTTATTCTCCCCTCTAGCTGCTACATGTTTTCTTTCAAAGTAGCTACGAAAATTTGGTGTTAACCAAAAATAACCAATTCTGCTAAATAAAACTTTGAGTATTCTCATTACCTATTTACTGGATAATGTACTGATATTACAGGGATAAGTTACAAGTTATATCACTTCTAGGAGTTTAAGGGTTTAAGAAATTGCATCGCGTGCAGACTATTTAACCACGAGGCAAATGAGAGAAACCAATGAAATTTATAAGTGTATGTAAGACAAATACTTTCACGTCTGACAACAATAACCGAGAAAATTCGACTGAAATTAAACCTAACTGTTGTCAGCTGCACGAAAATTAAGATTACGACCTTTATTTACAAATAAAATGAGCTCTAAACAGCTCTAATCAGTTTCAGAATGAAAATTGATTTGTACCTGTTAAACTGTTATCCTCTGAATCCCTCTATTCTCCAAGTGAAATCATTTGTTAATTCTACATGCCTGAAAATATCAAACATAATATTTTGCTTTACAACAATTTCGATAAAACAATGAAGGTAACATATTCACGAGTTTGAAAAATCTAACTTCATCTAATGCCCAGTTTCGTGATCAAAATTGCTGTTCTTCTCTAAGAAAGTTATTGCGCCTGTTTTTATGTTTGTTTTTTTAATTCTTTTTTATTATTACTTGTTTACATGTTTCTCCATGGCGATTAATTAATTCTGTGATTTAAATTCAGCTCTTTTTCTTTTAGTGCAAAACACTCGCAATCTGCAAAACCCCTTTTCTCCTCAGAGCAGGACATGTTACACTCTGCCATAACCGAATCGATAAGGATGAATTCACACCGTGGGTTATATTGAACCGATGCAATTTCTTTTCAAGTAATTAACTCGTTATATCCCTCGTTCAATATGATACACATTTGTTTTGGTCATCTTCCCGTTAGCGTTACAGTTCTCTCAAATTTTCATTTTCCGCTCTCACCGTGACAACTTCATGAAGTTTCTAAAAATAATAACGGTAAGCTTTTTTCTTGTAAATAACTCCCGCCAATTCTGCACTTAATATTTTTGCAGTCAAAAGCGTAGGTGTCCAGCGAAATCACTAGAGAGAGATACAAAGCTAAAGAAATCACATCAATAATATGTATTCTTTATGTATACTTTTTATTCCAATTTTCTCCTATTTTGATTATAATATGCTACAGATTTCTTCATTAACTTTCCTCACCTCAAGAATACTTGCAATAAATTTAACTCCAAGAAAGTCCTTTTGCAAGAAAAATACTTGACTTGTCGTTGTATCTAAAGAAAAGCATATTTAAATCGTTTCGCGTCTTGGAAAGAATTTAAAGCGATACCATAAGTACTATTCTTAAAGAAATATCCGAGGAAGATATTCAAAATTTGTTAAATCTGTGTACTCCATGCATCTTTGTGTATAGAAACCCTCAGTGTACCCTACAGGAATTTTATGAAAAAATTGTTACTGAACCATTTGTCTTTAAGTTGGAAGAGAAATCTGAGGCCCTAGCTCTCTGTCTCTTTGAGCTCCAGAATTGTCTGCTGAGTTTGGATGCAGGAAGCGAGGCCATAAATAAATGTATAATAGTTCATACAGACAAGTAACACACATGATAATGGAATCAGAAATGCCGCAGCTTCGTAAATTCCTTATGGGAAGATATGTAAGCCACCTGAAGGTCTGGTATGTTTATCTACATGTCAGCATTGATATTTAATCTGTCGTTTAACCTGACTTGACGGATAAGTTTTTTTTTCGGTCGTCGGTTAAAAATGATTTTTTCCTTTGTCACGAAAGAGCTTAAAATTTCCTTTCTATCCTTGAAACATGAAACTTTCGACATTGACGATCTAAGCAGTATGCAGGATGATCCTTTATGTATCCACTGTATGTCATGGCTCATTAACGAGAAATATATAGCTGTGGCTGAACTTCAGATCGTAAAATCCGATGGTCTAAGATTCGATCCTGCGTTCGTGACGAGTAAACAAGATCGATAATTCTTTCATTCGTTTGTCTCATGTTTTAAATTATTTCTATTTGTATCATCAGTCAATACCCGTTTATCTCATTCACTGCATTAGGTCGCTGTTAACTTATTTTGTTCTCACCTGAACTCCTGTGAAAATGTGATTTGCCCCACAAGTGTGTAACAAAACGGTGCACTTGGTAACACCAGCAGTATTGAAGAAGCTGAATATGAGCTCATCGAACTCGAAACTGAAAATCGTGTATCATTGTTTATTTCGTGATCCATGATTGTATTTTGTGGCTATGCTGTTTCACTATTTATAGGCCAAGTTTGGACAGGGCCTCATATTACATTTTTAATCTTTTCATTTTCATTAATCCGGATTGTAGCACAATGACATAAACATGCTACTTTTTTATTTATTTTTTTTTAAGTTGGTGTGATGGTCGTCAAACCACCGCCTGCTTAGGTTGATCGAAGGGCGCTGAAAGGACTGGGGAGAATGAGCATAGTTCCTTTGTCTATAAGTACATATTAGAAACCATGACCAAACTATAGGCTTTGCGCTTGCGCCACGAATCAAAGCGGAAAAAAACAAAAACAAAAAGACTCGCTCCTGAACTTACAGTACGCACGTGGAACTCGGGTGAGTAAGAGATGTGGGTTATTCACTTATTATATAACCAAAACGAACGAGACCTCATGCGTTACTTAGGTGTTTTACGCCACAAGAGAAACACACATACCGAAAGCATAGTGAAGGAAATTTTCTTATTAATGATGAGGGCGACTTGTCGGCTTGGAAACTTCACAAGTTTTGTAGGAAAAGTTGACCAATAGAGCTGTAATTTACGTTACTAACTCAGTTGAAAATAATAAATTAACTACAGTAGAAAGTCAGTTAAGTACGACAGGAGAATGAATGAAGCATCTTTAATAATATCAAAGTCATTCCAAATGTTACAGAAATTTGACAACCTGTCAGAAGGCCATCCATGGTTTTATTGCTCAGTGACTGAGAAATGTGTTCTTCCAAGGTCTTTTTGCTCCGTGTGTCACTGGCATTCATTTCAATGTACGTAAAACCAAGCTCTTCACAAACCAGTGTTGCTGTTGTTGTTTTACCAACTCCTGGGGAACCGGACAGAAGAGCTTCCTTTAACGACGACCCATCTTGATCTTTGTTGAAAAAGAAAGCTGTGCAAATAAAAATGTGTAAAATTGTGATTCCATAACTAACATACTTATTAAATGTATAAGTGACTGTCGAGTGGAATAAATTCATCAAAGTTCATAAGTTACAGCTGTTTAAAAAAATGTATCTCTGAATGTGAGAATTAGGAAACATGTATTTATGTCATCAGTAAGTTGTACAAATGCACCTGGATGCACACAAGACAGATTATATTCACTAATTATGATCACTGCACAATACATGTAGGATGCTCACTGGTGAGGAAATTTAAGGCATACGGCTGAAGTGTGGATTAAATTTACAGTGAAGTCATGCTCTTGTGCTAATTGTTGGAAAGGTTTGAAACACCCACCTTTCCGTGCAGGTGATGATGATAGTGTTTGTGTTGTTGGAGATGACGCAGATCTTTCCCTCAGTTGTGACAAATCACCTTCAAACTGATCTTTTCTCTGGCTGAGAGACTCCACTGGTTCAGTTTCTCCTTCTTCTTTGTCTTCTTATCCACACTTGGTGGTTCATAGCTGGTCTCATTGCCTGGTTTTGTTCTGACAAGCTAAAACAGACCATCTTCATGTATTTGTGATGTTCCACATTGCCTTAGCCTAACAGATAAGAACCAAAGTCGAAAAAAGAAAAAAAAATGAGCAACAACAACAAAGAAACCGTAGTTTCCTTGTCCAGTGATGTTTAGGTGTTCAAAGAAGTAGAGACAACCTTAAATCAGTTAATGGGTCTCTAAACAAAGCAATGTTTATTGACCTCCTCAGCAAGAAATATAAGCTTATGCCTATTAACAATTATTAACAATTACTTCTTCCCTTGAAGGACTCTTATTACTGTCTAAACTGAAAAGTTATAAATGATGAAAAGTGAAAAAAAAATCTGTAGATACATGTACACTATAAACATTTGGGATCAACGTCAGCATCTGTGTACCCACCCCTCCCCTAACTCAAAAAACCATTAACTGATAAGGGTTAATGTTGGATTAGGGGAGGGGTGGGTATAGATACTGACATTGAACCAACATTTGAACAACAACTGAGAGTAAAAGGATAAAATACATTTGTTTGTTTGGATTAGGGGAGGGGTAGGTAGGCAGTTTCTCAGATACTGACATTGAACCAACATTTGAACAACAACTGAGAGTAAAAGGATAAAATACATTTGTTTGTTTAATCAAAGCATGCATTTTACAATTTTTTTCTGTAAACTGTATCTGCAGATTTTCCAAACCAGTTTTAATTCTAATGATCTTCATTTTCCTTAGTCTTGCATCTCTCATTAAAATTTGAAAGGATGGAAAAACAAACCACAAAGAACTTTGAGAGATAATAATAATTTAACTACCGGAAGAAATTAACATGTAACTTCTCCCTAGAATATCCATACATTATCCAGCAAACAGGTAATGAGAATACTAAAACTCATCAGGCACATGTAGTTGTGTTATAATGATCTAACAAATTCTCATTATTAATTTACAGAAGAATGTGTAGCAGGTAGAGGGGAGAATTAACAATCTGATCTTGGTCTTTGAATCCTACCTGAGGGATTTCCTTTAAACCAAGTGTCCTAGGACCATCTCTTGCCATAAAACTACAGTAGCCAGATTGTTTTCTTTTCCGATGAGGGTGGAACTTCATCCACTTCCTCTGATTTTGACACCTTTGGTGTTCCTTTGATTGGAGTTTCCTTATCAACATCTTTTTTATCCTTTTTCAGAGTAACAGTTTTCTTTGGACTTGGTTTTGAGTCTCTAACTGGAGTTTCTGGAACTGTGGCAGCTTTGGTAGCCAGTTTGCTAGCAGGAGTTGTCTTTGGTACTTCCTGAAAAGTCCATGGATAAAATTTGAAGTGAACAAAAGTTACATGTATATCAAACATTCTAACAGCTGAGAGTTGTCCTCACAAGGCCAGAGTTGTCCCAAATAGGAATGTTGATGGTGAAAGACACTGCTTCTTTGAAAAATGGAGACAAAGTGGCAGCATCTTCCTGGATTGTGAAAGTTAAAATCACCAAGAATGTACCTAAAAGTTTTTTAACCACAGTTACTGTTTAGTGTAAATTCTAGGTACAGTAATGGTAGTATTTTGAGTGGTTATAGTATTGAAAGTAATGTTTTGTTGCAAGTATTGTTAGCAACATGCATCTGAGTAAAAACCATCTAATTTCATAGTAGGACAGGTTTACATATACAACTGACATGTACCACCAGTTAACAAGTTTGAGTAAGCTTTTGGATCTTATACAAAGCCAAATTTAGTCATAAAATGTTACTTTTTCATCTTCAAGTACCTTATTCAAGTGCTTAAAGACACATACCATACACATGCAATCATATCAGATCCAATCAATTCTAGTATCAGGGTAGCATGTTTAAGCATCAATAGTACTGATTAATTTTGGAACAATAAGGATGGTGATCCTTAGCAAACCAGAAGATATCATTTGATTGAACACCATATTCTCAAAGATATTGTCATAACACTTGTATGACAGACAGCAAAGAGAATTGATTTAAATATCTTAGAGGCAAAAGGACTTATCCCTTTCAGAAAGGCCCATGGTATCATTTTTGCCCAAACTATTCCTCAGTTGGTCACTACCCATTAATTTTGTGACATGGTATGTGTTCACTGTAGTTCATCCTGATATAACTATGACAAATTGGCAGAGGGTTTACAGGGAATGCTTGATTAAGCCCAAAAATTTACATGTGATGCATGAATTTCATAGAAAGGCAAGGTATGGCCAGGTTTAAAGTTTTCCCTGTTCAATGCATGATGAATGATGCATGATGCATGATGCATGATGCATGATGCATGAAGTACTGTTAAAAATACACAGGATGCCTCATTTTTTCTTAAAAAAAAAATTGTGGGCAAAACAAGAGTAGTTAGTTATTTTCTCTTTAGGTTTGACTGGACTGAAGCAAGAATAACAATCCATGTGTTAAAAATTTTAGTTTTACAACAATGTTGCATTAAGTTCACCCTTGATGGCTGTGTAACATTGTCTTTATTATTTTGCTGTTGTTTGTTTGTTTATTTTTTGTTTTCAACCCTTAACACCTAAAACTCAGTATGCATATTCTCCATACTGTTCTCTATACATTTCCTAGGATACTGACAAGGAGAATTTGTTTAACAAACAAGAGCTAAGTTGGTGATCATTTCCTTTATTCTTGTCACCTTAATGTTTGATTCAAGGATGATATTGTAAGGAGAAATTAGATGCTGGTCACTCTTAGGGGTCAACAGGTTAAATGTATCAGCATAAGAGCAGTGTCCTATGACAGATCTAACATTCTCAATGCTTGATGGAAGAGAGGAAAAAACAAACAAACAGACAAACAAATTGACAAACAAAATTTAGCTGGATATTTTTAGAAGAAGCCAAATGATTCTCCACAGCAATATCTTGCGTTCCAAATGAAGACCACGGTTTGGTACACAGGTCACAAATGTACAAGGAAATGTGTAGCAGCTAGAGGGGAGAATTAGCAAACAGATCTTGGGAATTTAAGGACGAAGACAAAATTGCTTCATTTTACAACCCTGTTTAAGATAAAAAAAAAAAAAAAGGCAAAACATCGTAACTTATCAACCTCACTCAGCTACCCGGACATACTCCGACAGACTATTGAAAATTATACCTACAAAGTTAGTTAACACACAGTACCACACCATTTCTCACATTCCAGTCCAGAAAGATACCTTGGGTTAGATATATGTAGTGGAATGAAACTCTTGGTTAAAACATGTTGTAAAATTATCTACCATGTGCTAAATAAAAGATTCATGACAAAGGAAATTTTACCATGTATGGCAATACATACCAATTTTGGTGAAATTCTGCCGCTGAGAACTAAAACGATGAACAAACCATTTGAGTATAGTAATGTGTTCACATTTCTCTCCTACATGTCGCGCCATCTTGAAACTCTCCTGTATTTCAGTCAGCGGTCACCAACTTAGCTAGCTTCCAGACTCCTGCTATTTCTCTTCCGCGAATTTTGCGAGAAAAACGATAGGTCACAAGATAACAGTAGTCTAATTCGAATTCACGGAACCAAATGAAAGGAGCTGTCAGACGAGAGAGGTTGAACCACGTGCAGTTGCCTCAATAGATTGCTTTGAAAATGGCAAATAGATCCGCGGAGAACACTTCTCAGGGGTACGCGCTCTGTTGTGGATGTCGATATTTTCAGGAATGACTGCACTCAAGATTCGCGTCCGCTCGTTCTGCGATTTGGTTGTTTCGTTGCGCTGTCGTCTCCTCGAGGTATATCGTTTGTTTATTGAAAAATATTCAAATTCGCAGCATGAAATTTGCAAAACGTTATTTGAAGTTTTATACGCTGTTATTCAAAAACAATTTCATGTAATATAAAATGACAGGTGAATCATCCCCAGCTGAAGGTTACATCACAGTTCAGTCTAGAAATGCATGTCATATTAACTAATAGGTTGTGCATGATATTTTTGAAAGAGACAAATTTTTTGCATTTCTACAATTGAAAGCAATTACATTGTCAGTAATCTCAATATTTAAAACTTTAACCCAGATGAAACAGCAGTGCCACCAGGACTCCACTCCATTGGTGTTCATTAGGTACAAGGCAACTCAAAAAGCCATGGATACCCTAAGGTATACTTCCTGTATATTTCAACAATATTTTACAGGCAGGCTTGACATTGATTAAACCAACACTGACCTAAATCCATTTTAATCAGAGTGAGGATGGATAGTCATGCATGTCATTTTAAGTGACAGGTGATTCTAGTTAAACATATATGAATAAGGCTGAGGTGCACAAGTCTTATAGTATCAGTGTATCAATCACTTTATTGAATTAAGTACACACTATTGGTTTATTTTAGAGCTTTGTTGGATATTGCCAAAGTGTTAGGAAGCTGCTACCTATATGCCTCCCTGCGAGGCAGCCTTTTTGATGACAAGGATAAGGATGTGGGCTTGATTACCAACCTCTGTTTCTGAACTCAACCTCACTTTTCCCCACCATTATTATTAGCTTTTGAGACACTGGTGGTTCACCTAGTGACCCACATGATTTTCAAGCTGTAACTCAAGAAAATCAACATAAAATTCTTTTCAACTTCACCAGTGAGACAACAGTCTATGGGACAACAGAAGTCAGTTCTCATTGATTAAGGCATGCAACCTCAATTGAAAATTTACCATGGCAAGCACATCATAAAATGCAAGATTGTCTTGAAAATAAAATTTAAGGAACAAACACAAGTTAACTATCAAACAACAAGTTGATGAACATTGTGTGCAAAATGAATATGTTTCCACCAGAGACACTATCATGTATTTAGTAATGTAATGGATTGATCATCTTATTTCCATAGCTTGTGGGAAACATCAGCAATCCCTGTACGATGATGATGTTGAGATAAGGGTGATGCACCCCACTTTATCATCAAACAGGATGATAGTTAGCAGCATGATAGCTGGTCAGTGGTCTCTGAGCATTTGTGTCACTCACATTGTATCTTGTAGCTCATATTTATAACTTACCACAATTTCAAATCTCTTAATTTACTTCTAACTTGAAAATTTTTAAAACAATTAAGAAACAAAAAACAACAACAACAAAAAAACCAATCGAATAATACAAGTGTATGATGTTTTGTCATAAAATTTACCAATTTTTTGTGTAATATCTTGGTATATCTTTCAGGAAATGACAGTTGCCTTCTAAGACACCTGATTGAGGCAATCAGGCAAGCCAAGGAGGCATCACGTGCTCTTAAAGCTCACAGGTAAATGTCACAGTGTCCTGTTTATTTTGTTAACTATAATTGCCATAATTTTGTAACTCAACTTACATTAATTTAAATTCACAGGGATCTCTTGCAAAGGGATAGAGCTCTAAGGGCACAACAAGACAAAGAGTTTCAAGCTTCTGTAAGTTTTATAGATCTTAGATGAAATTGGAAGCATTGAACTGATTTAGAATTATGTACCAAAGATAGTTTTATCCACATCCACCACTTGTTCACTCGTTCACAGATAGCAGTATGCCGGCACTAGAAAAACAAATATTAGATACATTGATGTGAATTGCTATCAGAAAAAGAAATCATGATGTATATTTTTTTATTCGTAAAATAGAAAAATTAAAATACAAACAAGACTGAGGAAAATGGAAATATGATTGTTGGCTTTAATTTATTTGAAATGTATTTTATAAAGTTGTGTCATGAATTATTTTTTATGAATTCCATTGTTGCAGGAGGTTTCTGACAGGGCCAATCACACCCAAACAGAGGTTATAGTAAGTTCAAGTTTTGGTATATTTTTAAAAGATTTGTGAACCTTAAAAGAGCAGAATATTAACCCTTTTAACTTCCAAGATCTGATTGTTAATTCTCCCCTCTAGCTGCTACACATTTCCTTGTAAATTGGTTCCAAGAATTTTGTATTCAATCAAGATAATATCTTGTACCTGATAAGTCTGAGTAATCTCATTACCTGTTTGCTAGATAATGTATGAATACTATAGGGAGAAGTGACATGTTAATCATTTTTGGGAGTAAAAGGGTTAATGTTGCACATTTACAGTTGTATTGCTTCTAAATATACTTTTAAATCTGGACATATCTATTTACATGTGTGTCTCACTTCTTTCAAAGGCAGACAGACCTCAAGACACAGAAAATGAGGTAAATAATTTTTTTAATTGATTTTTTATAACAACATACAGGAAGAAATTAATAAACATGAAAAATATCTGAAAAGTAGTACTTCAAGAAATACTCATCAACAGAAATGCATACACCAGTACCATAAATGCATTTGTTTTTTTTTTCACTAGAGACAATGTGGTGGTATGATAAGAAACTGTTAATAGTAATGATAATATTATTGATGATAATTTTAAAATCGTCACAATTGCTATTACAGTAGACCAGGAAATCAGGAAGTTATCACTTTTGTGTCCCATGTAAATTATCTATCAAAGTAAAATAATTCAAATGCACCAATCTTATTTGGCAGACTGATCTTGGGGAGGGCCTAGATGAAACTGAGGTGGACACTGTAGAGGTAATGTCTGTACCTCATTGAAATTGTGAAAACTCTGGCACAAAGTGTGAAATTTTGCTTTGATTGATTACTGGATATTTGGAGTTATTGTTTCTAGTCAAATCCTTGATATAACTTTGCCTGCAATTGATGGTCTAAATAATTGATGCTCTTTAACAATTCCAATATGATGACAAAATCCAGCAACTTTGCCAGTGCAGTGAAGGTTTCCTTCCATGAGTTTCAAGAGTGGATCAAATGCAAATTTCCTCATTATGCTGTGAATCTGTACCGCATGTGCAGCACTGGTAATATCAGAGAGGCAAAGTGATATTTTCAGGGTTGAAATGATAATTCAAATGGTTCATGTGCAACACTTTGAACACTGGAGAAATTTTTTCCCTCAATAAGTCTTGGGAAACAATTGGTGAATATTCTTTGACACAAGTAACCCTACATTTGATCATTCATTTCTAGATCAGAAAAAGAAGACCAGCAAGGATTCATAGAGAGTAATTATGAAATATAATTGAAATAATATCAACTTCAAGTCTTTTTTCAGTGAAAATGTAACATTTCCTTTGGTGATCAAAGCACAAATGAACAATGTAATTTTTAAAGAAAGATGGTTTTTGTTCTTTCAACAGCGTGGGACAAAGAAAAAATTCTGAGTGCCCATGAGGAATTGAACCTCAGACCTTCAGAATCTTTGTTCCACGCTGTTGAAAAAATCAAATTTCATCTTTCTTTATTTCTTTACCGAGCTCAAAACTTACCATCTCTCCAATTTCAATGTAATTTGTGATACATCTTCTAAGAATATTCTAAACATCCACTCAACTGTGAAAGTGAGGGAGATGGCTGTGGAGACAGTACAGTTGTTATTATAGTCAGTGGTTTGAAATAAAGTCCAATTCCTATTTTAAAACTTGAAGAATACTTGTGAAGAATATTTATGAAGAATACTTTTATTAAAACATATTTTATTTTTTTCTGCAGACTTTCAAGAATCCATAATGTTTTTTTTTGTGACAGTTCAATCAATAAACTTTCATTTCTATTTTTGAGAGATGTGTTCTTAAGTGTTTATTCAATATCCATAGTGAGATTTCCCCCCAGAATTTGGGCATGGTGATTTTGTTGGATTGGCAATGCACCAAGTTTCATACCTCCCTTACTCAAGTGGATTTAGATAATCATGTAGCCATGTTGGCATGAATTTTCATGTCTCACCACCACATCCTCAGTATTATATTACTAGCCAACTTGTAGTGTGTGTTTGTTCAACATCTCAGCCTTCTTTGATTTTAACAAATTTTTAATCGGCCAAATAGTTAAATCTGGTTGGGGAGGAGTAGAAATGAACTGTATTGCAAATGATTTGGACCTGCTCTTGAGGAAAAACCATATTATTTGATGTACGCTTCAATGAATAATCAAGGTGAATAAAGTCCAAGTTTAGGATAAGGCACATATTGCTGTGTTACGATCAGGGGTCTTACAATCAGGGGTTCTTACAGTCGGGGGTTCTTATAATCAGGAGTCTTTCATTCAGGGGTTCTTACAATCAGGGGCTCTTACAATCAGGGGTTCTTACAACCAGGGGTTCTTACAACCAGGGGTTCTTACAACCAGGGGTTCTTACAACCAGGGGTTCTTACAATCAGGGGTTCTTACAATCAGGGGTTCTTACGATCAGGGATTCTTACAATCAGGGGTTCAAATCAACATGTCTTACTTGACGAGTCTGTGCCCAGATGTAGATAATGATCGAAAAATCTAACGATCAGGGGTCTGTGTTGATGGTGAATTCTCACATCCAGCGCGTATACTCTGCTCAGATGTTGAAATTGACCTTACAAGATCATATTCATATTAAACCCGTGTCCAGATGTTTATATCGATCGTAAAATCTTACATCTAGGGGTCTGCGCGCAGATATCGATATCGATCGTGAATGCTTTCGTTACATCCAGGGGTCTTAGATTCGTATCCTACATCCAGGGGTTTTTAATTGTACCTCTGAATAGTCGCTATGTAACAATGACGAGTTATACAAGGGGGTGTTTTGTTAAAATTGTAAGGTAGTTTTATATAAGGGTCTGTTCCCAGCTACTGATATTGATCCGAAATAACTTGAAGAATACGAACACTTTGAAATGTTATTTGGGCGATTAACCGGCGCGAGGGTTTTAAAGCGATGAGTGCAAAAGTCATTGTTTTACCGAAACGTGAGGGTTTTAACGCGATGAATGCAAAAGTCATTGTTGTACCGAAACGTGATTTGAATCTTAAACTGAAGCTAGTATCAAATGACGATTGGTAAAAAAAGGTTTAAATTCTTCTGGGCCTTAGCGTGAGACACAATCCAGGTAAGACACGACTTATCTCCTCTTCTTTCTCGGATCCTTTGTAGTTCGCTTCTTTTTGTTGATGACCTCTTTTCAGTCTGTTTTTCTGGAGCTCTATGTATTTCCTTTTCACGTTGCTTTTTGCTAGATATTCGTCTTTTTACTTATGCCTTTTATTGTTCTCTTTCGCGTTCCTCTCGCCGTATTCTGCCTATTTTAGCGTCCTTTCTAACTTTCTTGCGCGTTTTTCTCGACTCGCTTTACGCCTTTTACTTCTTGCTTTCTTTGGTCGCTCTGTCTCTTTCTTTCCAGCCTATTTTCACTCAAAACCCTTTCTCCACGAACTTGAATTATAACAAATTCCTCTGCCGGTATTTTTGTTTTGCAAGTTGATTAGAAATTGCAAAATACTGAGAATTTCTCTTCAACTTCAACCTCACCAGTTTGATTTCCCGCTCAAAACGCGGGTTGCAAATTATTTGCTTACGCGGCTTGACATCTACTAACTCACGTGCAATGCCTAACCATGTGCCCGCAGTACGCTGGGCACGTGGTACCTCGTCACTCGAGTATGCGCACTTCATTGTCATCTACCGGTGTCTCCTGTTGCACACTACTGAGGCAGGCGGTGTGCGCACTCCGATTGCGTTGCATTGTGGTAGCTCCATTTTCAATATGGCGATGAAAGCGGCAGAAATCGGCAGATTTTGACTGAACATTCCGTTAAAGTTAGGCCGCTCCTTTTTCCTTTCACCATAGGTAAATATAACCTGATTTATTCTGAATGTGTAAAAATATTTTTTGTACGTATTTGTCGCGTATTCTATGATTCTCAAGGACCAACGCAATCACTGTTTTTTTAGTATGTAATTTGAGACCAGTTTTCGAGAAAGTCAAATGTGATGTACGTCGTAGATTGGAGCTTTTCAAAGATTTGGATGGCCGCTTTGATCCTTCCTCAACAGCTCTGACTAAACGCTCTCCAACGGTATATGTGTTTCGCGCATTTTAAGTGCTAGTGTTTGAGACCGATTATGACCAAGAAAAGGCCTATTGTTGCATTACACAGCGTTACTATTAGAGACCTTAAGATCGAGGTTTGGCCATCTTACCGCAAACGCTAAACCGCGGTTTGCAGTTAGCGGTTTCACGTTAGCCGTCTGCCCATATTTGGGACTTAAGATCGGCGTGTGATAGCACTTGTGCCTTGTCAATCTTTCTCGGCATCCGCGCCCCTTTAGTTCAAATCTGTTGCTGTCGGAACTAAAGACTTCACTGAGAGTAGTTGCTAATTCATCCCATTCCTGATGCGTTTGTGGCTTTCTGGAAGCAACTTCTTTAGCCAGGGCAATGTCATTTTTAAGGCTTGGCCATCTGAACGGAGCCATCTAGGAAACAAAGAATGCATTTACATATCATCAGAAATCTGCTTTTGTTGTAATTTGTTTATCGTAGTTTAACCATAAAGTAATCCGACTGGCAAATCAGTTCCAACAACAAATAGCCGGCTGCCATGTTTGTTTTCATTCGTTTGTTCACTTCTATTTTAGCTGAAAATCGTCTTCAAAATCACGTTTCTATAAAAAGAATTCGATAATTAATAAGCGAAATAGTTCTAAACAGTAGTATTTCCTCTCAAACGTGGGATTGTGATGTTTTAGGGTGCAAAAAGACTTGCGGTAAATCACTTACCTCTAGAGCGTGGTCTTGACGTACAAACGTGAACCTCAAACCGCAAACCTGACGGCAAGGCTCTGGTAAATGCCGAAAAACCTCAATCTTAAGGTCTCTATTGTATACTCAATTGTGTCGTAAATCTACTTTTCTAAGTAGAAGCAAATTAACTAATCGCGAGTGTTATATGGTAAATCTACTATCTTGATCACTGAATGAAGGACAGTTATATTAGAGCAATGAAAGAAGTCACTTGACCACTAAATAACTCTACAATGCACACGGCGACACGCCGGGTAAGCCGGAAAGCAAAATGCAGTCGATCGTGAAAAGGTGTTGATAGGCTTGTGAGACTCCTGCCATTCGCTTGCGCTTTTAAATCTTCTGACCTGAAAACTTAGCTGTTATTAAGATATCTTTTAATGACTTTCCTCTGATAATTAGGGTTTGTTTTAAGGTGTAACTTCCCTGTCTGTATGTTCTTGAGGTTTTTTTTTGTTTTTTTGTTTTTGTTTTTGTTTTGTTTTTGTTTTGTTTTGTTTTCCACATTTTTTATTGCCATTTTGAAAATAAAAAAGTGTTTACAAGACTCTCAGTATACTCTATTTACATTTGTAAGCTATTATTAATTATAAATTACATTTGTATTTTTAAACAATTCTATAATTATATTTGTAAACTATTATTTCTATTATATATTATGTTCTTGAGGTTTGGCAAAGCCGAATGAGATTGTGTTACAAAAGGTAATATTTTCATGTGTGCGCGCTATTTTCTTTTTTTTCAAGAATACTGTCTCTCCCGCAGAAGATAACTCCAGAGATACAGTTTTCAAAACCTTATTCTGGGTATTCTCTATTCTTTTAAGCATATTTGAAAATTTGTATGTTTTTTTATTAAACGTTGAGCGTGACGAATTTGGTCTTAGAAGGCGTAACGCTTCTCCTTTTGCGAATCCCGTATTTACGCCTTTAAGTGTATGACATGAAAAATAATCCGTGTATAAGAAGGTAGCTGTCTCTTTGTAATGAGTTTGCATGTCAAGGGTTGATTCCCTGTTGAATAACTCGCGAATTTGATATTATTCACACAGCCATCGGCTGTGACTGTAACTGCTGCCAAATGAATAGATTCTTGGGCAAGGCTGCAGTTTCGATTCTCTCTGAATCTCTTCAGTTGCCTCCTAACAACGAATTTGTCACGGAGGAATAACAGGAGTCGCGCAGGCCTGCCAACACTTTTTAACTTTCGAAGGAATGGCAACAAACAGTGAATCCCCATTACATTCCACGTTTATTCGCGCTATCTTGCTGCCACCAGAGATGTTCACTCGACCGCGACAGGATGTAAATGACTCGTTTTTCGTTTTACGACCATGATGCAACGCAATCAGAGTGCGCACACCTCCTGCTACTAAGGTATCCAAGTTACGCACGCAATCACGCCTGTGCATTACCCTCTCCCTTGCCCTTCCATTACGTAATGGTTAAGATAGTGCTTGCAATGCAGTTGGCTGCGCATGCTAAAAGTAACACCTTATACGGTCGGTCGTACTGTGTCAAGTCCAGTTTTTTTCGGCTTGATGCGTTTCTACTATTTCGCATAATTATGGAACTACACTCCGCTCGCTGCGAGCTCCGCTACTTTTGTGCGTGCTGTATTTGCACAAATTCACGACTTGCATTTACTTGCAAGTCAAGCATTGTTTTGAAGTCAATATTAGAAAGAAGATTAAAAAGTCCTGAGATCAAGTGATTGTAATTTGATTGTGATTGATGTTCATTTCTAGCGCTTTTTAAGTTTACAGCATGACAAACCACAGTTGGTACATATGTCGCGGTTCATTCTGAATTCGGTGAGTTTGTTGGAGAAAACAGTACTAGCCCGATCACTCGTTCAAAGACTTCGGTGAGTGTCTATTGGCTTGTGTGATCTGAGGATTATGTACACTGTAATAGATGAGAGTGCATGTTTGTTTGTCTGGAGATTGAA